GTTGGAGCACTGGGTATTGACACAGTATGAAAGTGCGTACATTTTACACACATGCATAAAACTGATCAGCGGCGGGCAAATATATCCATATTTGAAATTACTGCTGGTCGTTGATGGCAATATATGCTGCTCTATAGGACAATCTAAATACTTTCAAACGAGGTGATTAATGGTTCATGAAATGTAAGTAGTGTTGGGCAAAGAGTCCCAACTTAGACTAACCTGGTGGTCCTTAGCGATTCCCCGGAGTTGTTATGGGTTATTAATGCGGTGATTCCAAATTTGGGATTGTGGACAGTTGCAAGCGATGGTTTGCTGGATCAAGTCCTTAGCAAATCCACGCAGTTGTTATGGGTTATTTTATGCGGTGATTCCAAATTTGGGATTGTGGACAGTTGCAAGCGATGGTTTGCTGGATCTTGGGTGAGAGAAATAGATTACTATTCTGGCTTGGCACAGTGTAACTCGGTTGTGCAGTTATTGGCTCAATTGGCTGAGCTGTTTTAATAATAGTGTTAGTATGGCATTTGTATGGCATTTTGGTTGCTTTGGCTCGTGGTGGAGCTGTTGAACTGGTAATGAGTTTGTGCAGATTTGTCACAGGCAGTACGATATTTCGATGAAATATTTGCCTAGTTTGCAACATTAATTTATTGTAGTTGCTTTTTGGCTCATCTTGGTGGAGCAGGTAGAGGTATTATACTGGTGCCTTCTACACTGGCTGCTTGGATCACAATGTAAATCGGCTGTGAAAGTGATGGCTCATGTTGGCTGAGCAGATCAAATTGAAGGCGTGATTGGTGCAACTTTGTGCTGGCTTTGAGGCATATTTACTTTGGCTATGCAGTTATTGGGTGATATATTGTCTCTAATTGGCCGAGCTGTTGATCTGGTCCTTTTTTTTTTTTTTTTTTTGTAGTATGTACTGGTCTATTACTCAGTACATACGGCTGGTGGCCCAGATCCGTGTAATGGCTTTTTGTTTGTTTACCGTTCGACACAAGGGAACAAACGCAATGTCGGTCTGGATTCCAGAGCCCAGCTCCATGCCTGGTTGACAGACAGAGAAGTGGGGACTGGGATCCAGACTGTTTTTTTTTTTATTCATTTAATACCTAGAGTACTTACAATGAATTAAGTGACATGTTATATACAATTCAAGTGAAGTTTCCCAGCCTTGGCATGGGGATTGCTGTCAAATTAATTATTTGAGGATTGGGAAAATCCCCAATTGTCTGGAAGCTACCCAGTCTGATAGCCGTTGCATCTGGATGAGCTGGAGCCGCCAGCGTGACCACCGTTGATCCTGCCGCCAGATGCCATTGGTGTGGGTGCTTGAGAGACGTAGCATCAAGGCCTTTTTCCATTGTATGGGATGTCGCAGTCTGAATTTCTGTAAGTAGGCAACCCTTTGGCAACGAGTTGTATGAAGCCATCTGATTGGTTCGTTAGCGTAACGCAATCTTTGCTTTATCTGCCTTTCAGCCAGTCGCAATTGGATGAGTTGCCGTGTCCTGCAAGTAGTCCTAGTCTTAGGCCCTCGCTGTGGTACAAGTACATAGAGGTTGGCTGCCATCATGAACAGTGTAGCAAGTGTGCACATGGTGTTGCACACTGCTTCTTGATCCGCACTGGTGGCCACGTCCCGCTGCGTCTGTGGATTTGGATGCGAGCTTGGTGTCTCTGGACTGGGAGGAATGAGAGCTCCTGGCCTTGTAGTGGTAGCGAGAGTTGAGCACAGCTGTATATGAGACGGGCTGTTTCGTCTATCCTGGAGGTAGTTGGGCTGCACCACTGTTTGACTTAGCAGTTCTTGTATGTCAAATACAAGGTAGTCTCTGAGACTGGGTGGTCGTGGGAGCGGACGTGGCTGCCCATGAGAAGGTAGCTGGCCCTGCTGTGACCGCTGCTGCTGTGCTAGGCGACCCAGAGGTAGGTGCTTCCGAAGCATTTCAGCGTATCTTCTTCTGACACCTAGGTGACGTTGTGGGAGTCTTGCTTTAAGGGCAATATTTTTGGCTTCATCGTTGCTGTGGTTGCTGAGCCGAGCCCAGTACCTGGAGCAAGCATCCTGATACATTTTTTCCACCGGCACGACCTTCAGATCAGTGTGGATGCTTTGGTTTCGCACGTACCAAGGTGCTCCAGCAATGGTTCGCAATATCTTGTTTTGCGCAACTTGAATCCGTTCAAATTGGCCTTCGCATAGAAGTGATCCCCAGACCGGAAGTGCGAACTGCCATATTGGGGCTATGAGCTGCTTGTAGAGTGATACTTTGCATTTTAATGGTAGCTTGCTCCTTTCTGATATTAGCCAGTGCAGCTTTTTGGCCCTGTCTCTAACCCTGGCGACAATGGTGGTGACGTGGCTGCTCAAAAGAAGCTTTTTATCGACTTGCACTCCCAGGTATGAAATCCTTTCTTCTGTGGTGAGCCGTTGATCCAAAATTCTTGGGGAAAGAATTGGCATCTGCAAGCTTCTCCAAGTGTGCATTATGTGCTTGGTTTTGGTAATGTTGATGCTAATGCTCCACTTTTGTGTCCATGTTGTAATGGTGGCAAGGAACAGATCCAAATTGGCAATGGCATCTTCTTGCAAGTTTGCCGATGACAAGATGGCCGTGTCATCGGCATAAGTTGCCAGCATCAGTTTGCCGTGTCGTAGCGGTGCAGGTAGGGGCATGTCGGATGTGTATAGGGTGTACAGTACAGGCCCTAAAACACTACCCTGCGGAACGCCGGCGCAGATTTCTTTTAGGCTGGAATGCGTACCTCCACAGCAGTCCACAATGAATGTGCGTTCGCTTAGATAGCTATTCATAACTCGGTAGAGGACTTCCGGCAATAGCTGTTTGAGCTTGAATCGCAGTCCGTCATGCCAGACACGATCAAACGCCTCCTGTATGTCCATATAGACCGCAGAGCAGTATTTATTGTCCTCGTACGCTTCTAGTATAAACTGCGTAACTCGACCCAATTGTTGTTCAGCAGCATGCTCACGTCTGAAACCGAATTGGTGGCTCGGAATTGCATTGATGATGTTGTCCAATTGGAACATCCGGCGCAGCAGCAGTCGCTCAAAGATTTTTGAAAAGCCAGCGAGCAAGCTTATTGGCCTGTATGATCCAAGCTGATCAGAGGGCTTGCCTGGCTTTTGGATCATTGTTATTTTGGCACATTTCCACTTGCAAGGAAAGTGTCCAAAGCGTAGGATACCGTTAAAAATAAGCACTAGGTACAGTACAGCTGACTGTGGCAGTTCCTTGATCGTGCGATTATCGATTCGGTCAATCCCCGGAGACTTTTTTGTTTGCAGCATTTTGATTATAGCTTGTACTTCCCCTAGCGTGACTGGAGGGAAGCAGAGTTCACCTTGGGCCACAGGTAGCGATACTTGCATCTCGACATGGCTCTTGTCAGAGGGCAGCGTGGTGATCATTGGCCTAAACCTTTGTTCAAGGTGCTGCGCAAAGGCTTCGGCTTTTTCTTCGGTGGTCTTGCACCACTGGGAAGTCCCAGCTCCCTCAGTGTGCTTCCTCACTGGTAAATTAGGTGCGGGCTGCCTTTTGATGTTCCCCGTTAGCCGCCATAACTTTTGCATACTGTATCTATCCCTTGCATCGATAGATTCCAGCAACTCATCAAGTCTTCTCGCCTTGGCATGCTTGATTTCCCGGCTAATGTTGTTGGCTAATCTGTTGTGTGCTTGCCTAGCAGCCGGGTTGTGGTATGCCTGTATGTGGCGTTTAATCAGCCTCTTGGCCTCAATCATTTGTTGAATGCGCCTGTTGATTGTGTAGTTATATTTTGGTTGCCCTCGGTAAGGCTGGTGAGTTAGGTTTGTTGCAAATTTCGCTGCAGAGTGGATATTATTTTCCAGTATGTCTACCGCATCGTCAATATCTTCGCCACAGTGAAGCTCAGTGTTCAAATTGATGTGCATGTTTAGCCACAATTGAAATTTGGGTATGCTCGCATTTGCTGGAAGAAGATGACACTTGGGTTCGCCTTCTGCTGGCTTACTCAGTAGTTCAATCAGCAGCGGCAGGTGATCCGATCCTAAGTCATTGGATGTGCTTATTTTTAGCAGACCATACTGCACACCTTTATATACTGCGAAGTCAATGGCTGTCGGGGACTGCCGCGCATTATTTGGAAAGCGCGTTGACGAGCCAGTTGCCAGAATGTCAAGGTTTTGCTGCTGCACACTTTCAAGGAGTATATTACCCCTGCGATTTGATCTGCTGTTGCCCCACCAATAACTTCTGGCATTCCAGTCACCAGCAGCAATAAATTTAGCACCAAGCTGTCTAAATACGTAGTTGAAGTCTTGAACCAGCCAATGTTCCCGCGGGGGGCAGTATATGGCCGCAACATTAATGACTGAGCCATTTAGCAGTGTAATTGCAACTGGCGCACACTGAATTTTCTCCAGGGTTGTCGGCATGAGCGCTATGTGTTGGATTGTGCGCTTTACTAGGATGGCTGCACCTCCACGGCGGTTGTTAGATGGGTGGTTTGCCAGGTAAGTGTGGTATCCCCTTATATCAATAGTTTCTGCATCCCGTAGGTAGCTTTCAGCTATTAACATTATGTCGATTTCGTTTTGCAGCATAAATAACTCCATCTCTTCCAGTTTATTGTGTAGTCCTGCTGCATTCCAGGCTACAATTTTAAGGGCGTTGGTGTTGAGTCTGGCATATATGTTATGCCCATTTCTCTCTGAGGAGGAAGTGATGGAGTTGGCGTCGTGGCTAGACATTTTGGTTACCATTGACGCGCTCCATGGTAGACATGAGAGTGCTTACGGTAGCCATCATACTCGTCATTAGATCAACTAATCTGTCAATTTTACTTTCCAGGTTGCTGTTATTGGCAGGGGCAATTGCGCTCCTTTGTTGTTCAACCATTATGTTGATCAGCTGATCAAGTTTTCGGCTGAGGTCATCTCGCGGGTATGCAGTTCGCGGTGAGCTGCGGCTGCGGCTCCTGTGTTGCTGGCGCGCTTCTGCAGGATGTGCTATCACTTGCCGAGTTTCTCGCTCCTGATAATGCTGGTGGCGCTGAGGCGGCTGATTGTTGTGCTGCAATCTCGAATCATGTTGAGGCTGCTGTCGAGTTGTTTGGCGCTGTGCGGTCTGCTTCTGCTTTCGGGAGCGCTCATCTGGCAGGCCAGTTTTAAGGGCGGCTGCATAGCTGCTTGCAGCTTGAGGCATTGGCTGCTGGTGTTGCACTTGCTGACGGAATGGGTTGTGCTGCGGCTGCTTCTGCTGCTCAGAGGGCCGCTGTGGTTGCTGCTGTTGTGCCTGCTGGCCCTGAACAACTGGAGGCCGAAGCGGTTGCTGCTTTGGTCGTCCCTGTTGCCTACCAGAGCTAATTGGAATGGTGGGTTCTCCAAGCTGAAATAGCAATCTATTGGCTCTTTGTAGAACGGCAGGTTCCCTCTTTTTAGCATTGTTTTTGAAGAAGATGCAGCCCCTGTAACTAGCAGCATGTGGGCCCTTACAATTAGCACATTTCGCTTCTGCACTAGGCGCCTTTTCACAGAGTGTTGATGGGTGCTCTTGTCCGCACTTTACGCATCTAAATATGCGGCGACAGTAATTTTTTGTGTGTCCAATCTGTTGGCAACGGTGGCACTGCACAACATCCGTATTTCTTATTGGCTTTTCGACTTTGACTCGCTGGCCTCCCAGGACTGTTAAGTCGAAAATTTCGTTATTGTTCTTTTTAGGCTCAAGCTCAACTTGAAAGAGATCAAGAGGCTCGCCAGAGAAACGCTTCTTGATAACATTTACAAATCGAACGTTGTGTCCCTTGTCACTAAGCTTCTGCTTGATCCAGTCATTAGGAGTAGCTCGGTGAAGGTGTCTAATTACTACTCTGAAGCCACGGTCACTGCTCAGTTGGTAAGTATGGGACTCAACACTACATTCTTCAAAGAATCTTACTAGTGCGCGGTATGAGCTAATGTCGTTGCACTGAATACGAAGTCCGCGATCCGAAGTCGGTTTGGTGTGGTAGTTACCCTCTCCAATTAAGTCATCAATGTCCTTTAGGAATGGGACAATATTACCGTTAAGTCCAGGCACGTAGAGCGGTTCAGGCCTGATCTTAACATTACTGGCAACGTCTGGAACATTGGGTTCTGCGTTAGAGTTATTGGTAGGCATAAGTGGGGGTATATGTTGTGGTCCCTCAGGCCTGGCATTCATATTGATAGTAGCGATGTCCTCAGCATCTGTTTCAGGATTTGGGTTTATAATCGGCTGAGGGGTAACGTCCATTGCTTCAACGTCCACATCTTCATCTTCCAAGGACACAGTTTCAACATTTTCATCTTCATTGGCTTTTTTCTTCTGTGTCCTAGGGCTTTCACCACCAGTGACACGACGTTTTCGCTGCACTTTTTGACAAGTCTCCTCTTGTCGTGCTTTTAGATAGTTTTCTCTAAGTGACGATGTCTTGCTAGATCTAGCCGACACAGAGGCATCTGTTCCACTCGCGACGGCCTGAGCGTTTGCAGCACCGAGTCTCCTTATGAACTCATCGTCGTCCCAGTCAGAGGAACTTCCAGATTTTACGTTTCCAATTTCTTTTAGCTTGATACCCATGCTTTCACCTTTTGGAAAGGCACGGGACGGGGGCAGATTGCCCGTATGTAGCGTCGGCAAAATTTTGTTGATTTTTGTCCTTAGAATATTTTTATTTTTGTTTTTCAGATTTTTATTTTTTGTTTGTTTTTGTTTGTTTGTTTTTGTTTGTTTTTTTGTTTACCGTTCGACACAAGGGAACAAACGCAATGTCGGTCTGGATTCCAGAGCCCAGCTCCATGCCTGGTTGACAGACAGAGAAGTGGGGACTGGGATCCAGACTGTTTTTTTTTTTTATTCATTTAATACCTAGAGTACTTACAATGAATTAAGTGACATGTTATATACAATTCAAGTGAAGTTTCCCAGCCTTGGCATGGGGATTGCTGTCAAATTAATTATTTGAGGATTGGGAAAATCCCCAATTGTCTGGAAGCTACCCAGTCTGATAGCCGTTGCATCTGGATGAGCTGGAGCCGCCAGCGTGACCACCGTTGATCCTGCCGCCAGATGCCATTGGTGTGGGTGCTTGAGAGACGTAGCATCAAGGCCTTTTTCCATTGTATGGGATGTCGCAGTCTGAATTTCTGTAAGTAGGCAACCCTTTGGCAACGAGTTGTATGAAGCCATCTGATTGGTTCGTTAGCGTAACGCAATCTTTGCTTTATCTGCCTTTCAGCCAGTCGCAATTGGATGAGTTGCCGTGTCCTGCAAGTAGTCCTAGTCTTAGGCCCTCGCTGTGGTACAAGTACATAGAGGTTGGCTGCCATCATGAACAGTGTAGCAAGTGTGCACATGGTGTTGCACACTGCTTCTTGATCCGCACTGGTGGCCACGTCCCGCTGCGTCTGTGGATTTGGATGCGAGCTTGGTGTCTCTGGACTGGGAGGAATGAGAGCTCCTGGCCTTGTAGTGGTAGCGAGAGTTGAGCACAGCTGTATATGAGACGGGCTGTTTCGTCTATCCTGGAGGTAGTTGGGCTGCACCACTGTTTGACTTAGCAGTTCTTGTATGTCAAATACAAGGTAGTCTCTGAGACTGGGTGGTCGTGGGAGCGGACGTGGCTGCCCATGAGAAGGTAGCTGGCCCTGCTGTGACCGCTGCTGCTGTGCTAGGCGACCCAGAGGTAGGTGCTTCCGAAGCATTTCAGCGTATCTTCTTCTGACACCTAGGTGACGTTGTGGGAGTCTTGCTTTAAGGGCAATATTTTTGGCTTCATCGTTGCTGTGGTTGCTGAGCCGAGCCCAGTACCTGGAGCAAGCATCCTGATACATTTTTTCCACCGGCACGACCTTCAGATCAGTGTGGATGCTTTGGTTTCGCACGTACCAAGGTGCTCCAGCAATGGTTCGCAATATCTTGTTTTGCGCAACTTGAATCCGTTCAAATTGGCCTTCGCATAGAAGTGATCCCCAGACCGGAAGTGCGAACTGCCATATTGGGGCTATGAGCTGCTTGTAGAGTGATACTTTGCATTTTAATGGTAGCTTGCTCCTTTCTGATATTAGCCAGTGCAGCTTTTTGGCCCTGTCTCTAACCCTGGCGACAATGGTGGTGACGTGGCTGCTCAAAAGAAGCTTTTTATCGACTTGCACTCCCAGGTATGAAATCCTTTCTTCTGTGGTGAGCCGTTGATCCAAAATTCTTGGGGAAAGAATTGGCATCTGCAAGCTTCTCCAAGTGTGCATTATGTGCTTGGTTTTGGTAATGTTGATGCTAATGCTCCACTTTTGTGTCCATGTTGTAATGGTGGCAAGGAACAGATCCAAATTGGCAATGGCATCTTCTTGCAAGTTTGCCGATGACAAGATGGCCGTGTCATCGGCATAAGTTGCCAGCATCAGTTTGCCGTGTCGTAGCGGTGCAGGTAGGGGCATGTCGGATGTGTATAGGGTGTACAGTACAGGCCCTAAAACACTACCCTGCGGAACGCCGGCGCAGATTTCTTTTAGGCTGGAATGCGTACCTCCACAGCAGTCCACAATGAATGTGCGTTCGCTTAGATAGCTATTCATAACTCGGTAGAGGACTTCCGGCAATAGCTGTTTGAGCTTGAATCGCAGTCCGTCATGCCAGACACGATCAAACGCCTCCTGTATGTCCATATAGACCGCAGAGCAGTATTTATTGTCCTCGTACGCTTCTAGTATAAACTGCGTAACTCGACCCAATTGTTGTTCAGCAGCATGCTCACGTCTGAAACCGAATTGGTGGCTCGGAATTGCATTGATGATGTTGTCCAATTGGAACATCCGGCGCAGCAGCAGTCGCTCAAAGATTTTTGAAAAGCCAGCGAGCAAGCTTATTGGCCTGTATGATCCAAGCTGATCAGAGGGCTTGCCTGGCTTTTGGATCATTGTTATTTTGGCACATTTCCACTTGCAAGGAAAGTGTCCAAAGCGTAGGATACCGTTAAAAATAAGCACTAGGTACAGTACAGCTGACTGTGGCAGTTCCTTGATCGTGCGATTATCGATTCGGTCAATCCCCGGAGACTTTTTTGTTTGCAGCATTTTGATTATAGCTTGTACTTCCCCTAGCGTGACTGGAGGGAAGCAGAGTTCACCTTGGGCCACAGGTAGCGATACTTGCATCTCGACATGGCTCTTGTCAGAGGGCAGCGTGGTGATCATTGGCCTAAACCTTTGTTCAAGGTGCTGCGCAAAGGCTTCGGCTTTTTCTTCGGTGGTCTTGCACCACTGGGAAGTCCCAGCTCCCTCAGTGTGCTTCCTCACTGGTAAATTAGGTGCGGGCTGCCTTTTGATGTTCCCCGTTAGCCGCCATAACTTTTGCATACTGTATCTATCCCTTGCATCGATAGATTCCAGCAACTCATCAAGTCTTCTCGCCTTGGCATGCTTGATTTCCCGGCTAATGTTGTTGGCTAATCTGTTGTGTGCTTGCCTAGCAGCCGGGTTGTGGTATGCCTGTATGTGGCGTTTAATCAGCCTCTTGGCCTCAATCATTTGTTGAATGCGCCTGTTGATTGTGTAGTTATATTTTGGTTGCCCTCGGTAAGGCTGGTGAGTTAGGTTTGTTGCAAATTTCGCTGCAGAGTGGATATTATTTTCCAGTATGTCTACCGCATCGTCAATATCTTCGCCACAGTGAAGCTCAGTGTTCAAATTGATGTGCATGTTTAGCCACAATTGAAATTTGGGTATGCTCGCATTTGCTGGAAGAAGATGACACTTGGGTTCGCCTTCTGCTGGCTTACTCAGTAGTTCAATCAGCAGCGGCAGGTGATCCGATCCTAAGTCATTGGATGTGCTTATTTTTAGCAGACCATACTGCACACTTTGTTTGTTTACCGTTCGACACAAGGGAACAAACGCAATGTCGGTCTGGATTCCAGAGCCCAGCTCCATGCCTGGTTGACAGACAGAGAAGTGGGGACTGGGATCCAGACTGTTTTTTTTTTTTTATTCATTTAATACCTAGAGTACTTACAATGAATTAAGTGACATGTTATATACAATTCAAGTGAAGTTTCCCAGCCTTGGCATGGGGATTGCTGTCAAATTAATTATTTGAGGATTGGGAAAATCCCCAATTGTCTGGAAGCTACCCAGTCTGATAGCCGTTGCATCTGGATGAGCTGGAGCCGCCAGCGTGACCACCGTTGATCCTGCCGCCAGATGCCATTGGTGTGGGTGCTTGAGAGACGTAGCATCAAGGCCTTTTTCCATTGTATGGGATGTCGCAGTCTGAATTTCTGTAAGTAGGCAACCCTTTGGCAACGAGTTGTATGAAGCCATCTGATTGGTTCGTTAGCGTAACGCAATCTTTGCTTTATCTGCCTTTCAGCCAGTCGCAATTGGATGAGTTGCCGTGTCCTGCAAGTAGTCCTAGTCTTAGGCCCTCGCTGTGGTACAAGTACATAGAGGTTGGCTGCCATCATGAACAGTGTAGCAAGTGTGCACATGGTGTTGCACACTGCTT